ACTGGTTTCCACAATGTTCAAGGGACCCCCCATTCCTCCCTCTGTCGTGAGCCGATTGAAAAATCATTATCTTACTACCTAAAGAACCTCCAATTAATCAAAAATAATTAATAAACTCATTTGTTAATTACTAAACCACTCTCCTATCGCTACTCTCGTCCGAGACTCCATCCGAGACTGCTTTCAGCAATGTTTAATGGACCTTTACATACCCTGTCCACCGATAGACGCTCCAAAAATGTTTTTCTTGCTACTCAAAGCCCCTCTAACTAATCGGAAATGATTAAATAATTATTTTGCCAATTACTTAACCACTCTCGTATCTCTACTCTCGTCCGAGACTTGATCCGAGACTGCTTTCAGCAATGTTTAAGGGACCCTCAATTACCCTTTCTCCCTACATTGGGTCCACAAAGGATTTTCAACTTATCTAATGCACCCTCAATTAATAAACAAATTGATTTGTGAAGACATAAACCACTGTCGGATGCACTCTCGGACGAGAGTCTTTACTGGAGTTTGGCGCCCTAACCTCCGAAAATCTGAGAGTCGAATGAGTGTCCATTCCGAGTGTCGGAGCTACTCTCGGATAGGTCTCGGACTCATCCGCCAGGGTATGGGGACATTCTTAGACAGGAAGAGAGAATTTCACCATAATATGATCAGGGATACGAACCTCGAATTACATGCGCGATCAATTCACTTGGAATTTACTAAATACAGGTGTTGTATACAATTTTTCGCACTTTTTCCGATTTTCCAAATTACACTGCAGTAAAACCTCAGTAAAATTTTAAAAAATTTGACATCTCATTTTGAAGTATCTAGAAGTCCTATCAATGAAAATATCTGCCAAAAATATCATAAGTAGTTGAATGTTCAAATTTTTATTCCGGCACTCCGGGCCGTGTACCGTCTATAAGGCGAATTTTCAGAAAAACATGGCAACTTTGAACTTGAATCTTGAATATATAATTATAGGTAACGCAGAACATAAAAAATCTCACGGGACTTCTTCAAGTATACAATCTAGATCACTCTCAATTTTTTCAAATTTTTCCTAGATCTTTCAAATTTATCATTATATCGATTTATGCTGGTGCGGCGCGGCGCTTACGGCGCGACCAACGGAGTGTTAGACATACAGACATCTGCAGATTTTGCTATGGGCTGCTTCAACCACATTTTTACTGATCATTCTTTTCAATGTAGCTGTACTCTTTTATAACAGTGTAACATGTATTCCAGGAATGGAGCAATACTACAATATACCTCGGGGAAATACCCGGTTCGAGTCAAAACACACGCACGAAAAATTTTAATAGAAAAACCTATCGAATTCGTTAGAAAATTCTATTGAATTTCTATTAAACTTTCTATTAGTTTTTGGCTGATTCTATTAACATGTTCAATAGAAAAAGTCAACAGAATTCGATTTTTCTATATAACTTATTCTTTTCATATATTTTCTATAGAATTTGCTCGACTCAAATTTTCGAAGTTTTTTTCATTCTATTTTTCTTTTCTTCTCATCAAGAAAATCAAACGAAAAAACTTGGAAAATTTGAGCCTATGAAATTCTATAGAAAATATTTCAATAGAATAAGTTATATAGAAAAATTGAATTCTATTGACTTTTTCTACTGAATATTTTCTATTGACCATTTCAATACAGTAGCGAAGCGGTAAACCGGGTTAAGTTTATTTTGACTTCTAGTCAGTTTTTGACGAATATCTCGGAATCTAAGGGAGATAGCAAAATTTTTCTCATTACCTTTTTTATAAGCCTCAATTGATCCTACAAAAAAGATCGTGACAAAAATTTTTTGCATCTCTTTTAGATTCCGAGATATTCGTCAAAAACTAGCCAATAATCACAATCGACTTAGCCCGGTTTACCGCTTCGCTACTGAATAAAATCGGCCCAAAACTAATAGAACAGTTCAATAGAAATTCAATTGAATTTTCTAACGAATTCGATGGGTTTTTCTATTAAATTTTTTCGTCCGTGCAATGTTGAATTATTTCGGGTTTTCAAATTATTTTTTGTGAATTTAGCCACGATTATACTCCAGCGGAGAGGTTATTGTTTTAGTTGAAAGATTTGTGTTGATAGCCGTGTTACCGGAGCCTCCTGCAGTCTACGCTCAGTCGCTGATTGACACATGAGTAACATTCAACGTGGCCTATTGCATTCTACGATTCAGTCACAAATCGACGACGCATTAGTTTGCGGCGCTAATTCTACACTATTAATATACGTTTACTTTTTGTCAAGTAAGGTGAGTCTAAATTTATAGATGAAATTGTTGATAGAGACGAAAGTTTCAACTTTATAATTTCTTGCGCTAACCGCTAATTTTCACCCGATATTCCACATCCTTTAGCTGAAAGAACTAGCGAGGTGTTTCATGAGAATGACAATTTGATGATTCCAATCGAGGGTTGTTCAGTAATTGTCCCAATGTTATTCGGAAAATCGTTACCAAGTGAGAACAAAAGAATGAAGAAAAATAAATTTGTAATATGGGGGTAGAATGGAAGCAGCAAAATGAAGTTCAACGCCTATTGGAGTAGAATTTACGAAGCTGTAACGTGATACTAGATAGACGCGATGAAATTCTATCCTTAGGAGGAAAGAGGGGATTCCCCTTAGATATATTGTGGTACTGGACAGACTGTAGTCTTCGGGTTTCATATAACATAATTGGTGGGGGAATAGGAACCGAAGACTAGAACCTCACTAGTACGTCTGTACGCCATACAAATCCCCAAACACAAAAATAATTTTTTTGCAAAAAATTTGCAATTTTTTTTTCTCTTCGTATACATAGCAATCCTTACTATGTCCCTAAGTAAACACCGCAGTGGCCCGTGGAATGCTCTACTATGTTAGATATGGTAATAATTAGGGACCGAGAGTGAAACTTAAGAACGGAGCGAAAGTCCCGCTCTTGCGCTTCCGCTCCCAAGAATGCTCTTTCAAAGAGTGAAATGTTAAGAGCGCAAAGGGCAAAACTTTGGGAGCAGTCCCGGAAAGAGTGAAATTGGGAGGAAATGACGGGAACGCCCACTCAGAGAGCGAAATGGGGAGTGAAATGATGGGAACACTCCTTCAAAGAGCGAAATGAAGAGTGAAATGCAGGGATTTGCACCAACGAAGAGCACAATTGGGACCGCTTTTACCGATGATGGCGTGGTGATCGCCCTCATAACATGGGCAACCGATGGTTTATAGCATGTAATTCATCGGTACATATAATTTTATTCAATTCAATGAAATTTCTTGTTTAATCAATTGTTTTATACCAATCATTTCACTCCCGATACACTGTTAGAATTTTTTTGAAATTTCATGGAAGGTATTATAGTAAATCTCATGAGAGCGACATTGAATTGGATTTAAGGACAAAATGGTTATGAAATTTCATGTTTTAAGTAGAATTCACGGAAATTCATGAGTTTTCAGTCAGAGTGAGATGGAAATTTCACAACTTGATCAAATTTTCAGTGGAACATAAATATTCAGAAACAAATTACATGAATTTTCAATTGTTCCCTCAATTTTCCTGATTTTTCGGAATTTTCACAGAATAATTGAACTGAAAACTAACTAGTTTATTGGTTCCCAGATCATTTGGACAAAAAATTAATGAAATATTTTATTTTTCAATGACAAGATTTCCTGAAATTTTAGTGGAACTTGAACACGATAAAAATTTCCGGAACTTGGCACGGAAAATTCAGACGAAAATATTTAACAGTGTAGCATTCTTTGTAGAAGCGACTCCCTGCATTTCAATCCCCATTCCATTCCTCCCAATTTCACTGTTTCCATAAGTGCTCCCATAATTATCCCATATTTGCACGCATGAAAAAATTCAATAGAAAACCTAGCGAATTCGCTAAAAAATTCTATTGGACTTCTATAGGAATTCTGTGGGGGTTTCTATAGAGTTTCTATAGGATTTCTATTGAAATTCTATTGAAAAATTCCATTTGATTTTTACCCTGATTCTATTGGATATTCAATAAGAAAAAGACAATAGAATTCGAATTTCTGTTTGAATTTTTCTCTTAAATTTTTTCTATTAGAATTATTGAGCACAAAATTTTTCCGTTTTTCCCGCTGACGTTGGTTTTCTGTTGCATTGTAGAATCCGAGTGAAAAAAAATTGAAAAATTGATGCCCAAGCATTTTTATAGAAGAAATCTCAGGAGAAAATTTTTAACAGAAATTCAAAATCTATTGACTTTTTCTTATCGAATATTCACTAGAATCAGCGCAAAAAACAAACAGAGTTTTACAATAGAATTCTAATAGAAATCCTATAGAAACCCCATAGAATTGCTATAGAATGCCAATAGAATTTTCTAGCGAATTTGCTAGATTTTCTATTGAATTTTTTCATACGTGTGAACGTGATGAGTGGGTCATCTTTTACTTATTTCAGAGCATTTGCATCATCCAGCAGCATGGACTCAACATGGACTGGTATTCAACAACTAGAAAATGTCCTGTTCAAGTTCAGGAGGACGGAAACATGGTGTGTAAATGTTACGATAAAAAAACTCCGGTTATTGATCATTGGCATAAACACTTCTGGCTGTTTTTCCACCTTTCAGCGCGTAATGGTTCTGGACAACCTTGGGCCGACCGATGGGTTCTTCCAAAAGATTTTACGCCAGGGATTGCAGGATGAAACGATTCAGAATGTTGTACTCGTAGAGAAGAAGCCAGTGGTAAAAGAGGGCGAGAATTACTTCAGCTACTTGACAAGACTAGCGCTCAAATACACCTACAATACATCGAAAGAAGATGATTGTGAGCTCGCCCACGGTATGGCTCATCTTATCCTCAAGGAAGAGCCAGCCGTGAGTTCATATACTTTGGCATTTATCCGGGAAATGGATATATTCAATACAGAGAGGACGATCTTAGTGAAAGTTATCCCAAAAATTGAAAAGCTCGTTGGGAAGCGACTGGGTCCAAAAATGTATTATTCCCAATCGAACCACAAGCTATGGTTATGGAAGATTTGGTTCCTCTTGGATTCGGAACGAAAGATTGTAGAATAGGATTGAATGAAGTTCAAGTTTCCATGGTTTTGGAGAATCTCGCCGACTTTCATGCAGGATCAGTTTTATTAAACGAACAAGTAGGTGAATTAAGAAAGTATAGAAAACTTTTCTTCCCATTAATCTTCGTCGATATAATGCATCCGTATATTCGTAACAAATTATCTAATTTTTTGTGAATCACTAGAATCCTGGATTCCTCTCCCTTTTTACGAGAGGCCTCATTAGTGATAAGACACCAAGGGCTTTTTTGAAGTACCTAGAAAATGGTTTGGCATCTATTGGAGATGGAATTCGTTCTTGGAGAGATGGTGAATTCGTCGCAATATCTAATAAGTTGAGGATGAGATCGCCTGAAATCGTTGAAAAAGTGATTGATGCTTATGAATGCGATGAAAATGAACTGCAAGTATTGAATCATGGTGACATGTGGATCAGTAATATCATGATCCGAGAAGATGAGGATGGGAAACTCCAGGAAACTCGTTTTGTAAGTATTTCGATAACGATTGAACGATTTTCAATTCAACAGATCAAGACAATCGTATTGCATTTCATTGAATTTCCAGATTGACTACCAAATGAGCGTTTGGTCATCTCCTGCAATCGATCTTCTCTTCTTCTTCAGTATTGCTCCTGAGTACAACATAAAGATGACTTACAACGACAAATTTTTACAGCAATATTTAGCTCGTTTGTCGTACACAATAAAGAAATTGGGGTGCTCAGCAAATGCCCCCACACTCGAACAATTGAAGGAATCGATGTACAAACGTCGAGTTCACGCAATCATGGCAGGCGTTATTTTTCACTCAAAATCTATATCAGAAGATGAAGACTTTGAACCGTTGGACGATCTAATACAGGGAGGAGGATCTACATTCGATCTTCTGAATAATCCCAAGTCCCGAGAGACGTTGGAGAAGATCCTTCCGATATTAGATGAACGGGGTTATTTGGATTGACATTCTGTACGAAACTATTAATAAATACTTGATAATTTTTCAAAAATTCTACAAGTGTTTGATCGATTTTAACAATCATTTTACACATTTGAAAAATTTGAATTCGTAGTAGACGAAAGTCTCTGTCATATTTCAACTCATGACGCATGCTATTTTCCAGAATTTCCGCATAACTTACACAGTATTGACCATGGCCAGAAAAAAATGTGTATCAAAACCTAAATGTGAATGGTGAATTTTTCTCCGCCGACTCAGGAAAATTTATTAATCGTGAAGGTAATTTGCACTGAAACTGTAAAATTTACCATTTCTGCCGTCAAAAATGATCCCATGAGAACGGGAATATTTGTTCAGGATTGCGTAATCACTCACAAACGTGTAGGGGAATTTTTCGGTGACGGAGAATGATTTTATACCTCACACGTTTCTGTTTACAACCATGGCCCCTACTAATTTATTATCGAAATAGACCTTTTCATTCTGAGAGTCACTAGATTTGCGGAAACTTTTTTCCCATGTTAATTCCCCTAGGATTTGCGGACACTTTATCGAATTTACATATAAATCATGGTTTTTGAGCGCTCAAGTGTATATCATTGTAAAGTTCAATATTTATCAGAATTTTCCATGGTTTTTTCGGAGATTTTTTCGTTCAATGAACGAAATGAATATTTCCCCTAGATTTCCAGAATGAAAAGGTCTATTGTGGCCGGGCATTAGAATAGAATAGAAAAAGTGCGGCTGGTCACTTAAAGCGCCCAGAGTCACCTAAATCATACGATCTTTTGTAACTTCCGCCTTAGTTTCGGTCAGTCACACAGCCCCAGCCCTGT